TTTGAGGAATTTGTTGTGAGGAAGTTTTTGGCAATTGGAATTTTTTGCCAGATCTGGGTTCTGTCGAACATGGAAGGAAGAAAAACAGTAACCGATGGGCAAAGATGGTGATGTGGGACCCATTTAGATGTATCTGGCACGATTTTGCCGGCTAGCATGCACATGTCGTCACTTTTTTAAGTTTTGCTCTCCACGTCATCAAAAAAAATATAAAAAATGCCACCTAAGTAGGGTTAACAGCCCAAATTAACAGAAGGACTAACGGAGTGCATTTTGTATAGTTGAGGGATCAAAAAAGTGCAAAAAATTATTGAGGGATAAAAAATGTTCATTTCTTAAAGTTAAGGGACCAAATTAAGCATTTAACCAAGAATTTAAAAGGAAAATGACATTTTTTCCTTTTTCTTTTTTTTTTTTTTTGCTTTGGGTAATGGTATGCTCATGGTATATTTTTACAACTGTCTTTTTATAACTTTTATATTTCCTTTTTTTAGTATTTGCAATTAGAGTATCCTATAATCAAGTTTTGCGCTTACTTAGAGATTAATATCTTTTTAGACAATTTTATAAACACATCTCATATATTGGTTTGATGTATTTAAAAAAATAATTTCTTTTGGTGCATAATTGGCTCCAAAGTTGAAACCAACAAATGTAACTGTGTAAGAAGCTATTTCACATGATTTTAAAGAAGAGCAATTTACAGGGTAAATTATAAAGTTTAGTCTCGGATCAGCAAGAAAAAGATACAACAATTTAATCTGCCTTGACAATGCATAGTAAGTACAGACTACACATATCATGCCCATACAAAACAGCTCTATGCTGCTGCATCTGTAGTCATTTGTTCAAGCTATTCACCGAGGTGTTACCACCATTTTGTCTGGCAAAGTGTTTAATCTAAACAAACGATTCCCTTCTAGTAAGCATAACTTGAAACCTGAATTTAGAGCAACAAATACTCTTCAAAATCAAAATTCCGCGTCCATGTATGCAAGTTGGATTACATTGTTCTTATCTGCCCCTGGTAGAGAAACAAGCATTAAAACAGCATTAGAAATACCAGGAACTTATCACAGCATCTACAATTCATAACTGCATATATATTATTAAACCACAAATGCTCATGAATCATTGCATCCTAAACATATAGATTTTATACCCTTAGTAAAGCTCTACTCATGCCTTATAAACTTATAATTCGTTGACTTCACATATACTGGTATCATCTTACATTATTTTTAAACAAACAAGGGAAAAGGAGAAAAGGCCTGAAAGTGAAGGTAATGTAAATTTAGAGCCTCATCCACAATGGATCAAGATCATAGAATACTTTTACCAATCGAGAATTTGAGGGGAAAAGTGAAACGAAATCTCATTTGCTAGAACTAAAAGGGATTCAGCGTGGTAGAGCTACTAACCCATTTTTCGGTTTCAACTGAGTCTGGTGAAACTGGAGGGGGAACATGTCTCAAAAGGCCAACGTCATCTGCTCCAATGTTCACTACCTCTGCAAACTGTGCTCCCGACTCTTTATTCTGCATTCCCTTCAAAACCCCCAAAACTTCTTCCATGGAAGGCCTCATATCCCTCTCTTTCTGCAAACACTGAAAAGCCAGTTCTGCAACTGTTGTAATCATTGTCCTCACAGCAAAATCAGTTTCAAAGGCAAGAGATGGATCGACCAACTCATGCAATGCCTGATTCTGAATTCTGCTGATGGCCATGTTAGCCAAGTTAATATCAAAGCGGTGCCTATTTGTGTCTACTGCTTGCTTTGCAGAAATGAGCTCAATCAACACCACCCCAAAACTATATACATCACTTTTATCTGTAAGATGGTAGCACTGATAATACTCAGGATCAACATAGCCAGGTGTCCCTTGTGGAGCAGTTGACACATGGGTAACATCATTGGGGAAAAGTCGAGACAGACCAAAATCAGCCACTTTCACATGGAAATTGTTGTCTAGAAGAATGTTGTTGGTTTTGACATCACGGTGTATGATTTCTTTACTATGAAGGTAAGCTAAAGCATTAGCAGTCTCTATGGCAATGCGCAACCGAACATGCCAAGTAAGCAAGCCAGAATTTGCCCTTCTCCCATGAAGATGATCAGCCACAGTTCCGTTAGGAATGTATTCATACACAAGGAGAAGTTCTCTGCTGTGCCTCGAGGTGCATCCATATAGGGTCACAAGATTTGGATGTCGTATGTCAGCTAGGATCTTAATTTCATTTATGAACTGTTCAACACGTTTGAGATTGTTCTCATACAGGCGCTTTACTGCCACAACACTCCCATCACTGAGCACACCTGATCAAAGAATTGAAGGAACCGTGAAAAGACCAGGAAAACAAGAAGTATTAACCAATGCATTACACAGGAAACTAATACAGAGAAGGCAAGAAAAACATTTATCTCCTCACCATGGTAAACAGTGCCAAAACCCCCATCTCCAAGTACTTTAGAAGGATCAAAATTATGAGTTGCTTCTTCAAGCTCAGCGTAGCTGAAGACCTGAACTCCAAAGTAGGTGCTTCCCTTTTCTAGGTCAGACTTGGCTGAGGAATAAGAAGGAATGCTTTCAGAATGCAAAGTGGATAGAGTAGCAGGGCCCAGGCCTTTGCCTGATGGAGGAGTTGCAGGCAAGTCTTTGCTTTGAGATTGAGCAGCAATTCTCTTTCTCCTCTGATACCATAATAACCACCAGCCTCCCAGAAGAATACCAGCAATTATTCCACCAGTTATAAAGAGGCCTAAAGATCAAAAACAGAAAAGAATGTTCAAATTATAACTCACCTTTGGTAAAAATGTTAATAGTAGAAAAATATAATATATTAAGGATAATTACCTATTTGAACTGGTTTTATTGTCTTCTTCTTGCCTGCAACAATCATGAGATTCAAAAATTCAGTTAAAACATCTATGACAGAATTGTAACAATTGAACATCAAGATAGACCAAGCTGTACAATCTCAGCAGTTCAGGTGAACTTAACTATGGTTCTGGAAACAAATGCAGAAATAATGCAGAAACTAGAAACTAGGCAAAGAACCACCATTATCACATAGATAGCAAAGTGAACAAATCAACCCCAAAACATTGCTTCTAAAAATTCTTTGCTGTTATTATAATCTTACAGACTATAAGAATTATTTATATGGATGGACCAAAATCAACATGAAGTACCTCATCAGGAATACCTGGTATGTCACAAATTCGATCACCACAAATGCAAACAAACTGATCCAAAAACCCACACTCCCCACCCGAATCGCGACAACTAGCGCAATCGTCCGCATTTGGAGTAGTATAATTCACGCTAAATCCCTCCATTAAAGCTTCCCTGAGAGTAAACCTATTGATCTCAAGTTTATCCGCCGCAGCTTGCAACATGGGCAGTTTGATGCTGATGTTACAGCGAATAATCTTGAATATGGGATCGTTCGGAACTGGACCCAACACATGGTACGCGGCACTACTAGAACTCCCATCTCCGCACCAGAACAGGTTCTCCGGGGTATACACCTGGACCGGAGTACACTCATAGAACAGCGAGAGGTTCTTGTTGTCTGGGCTGAGATTGAATAAAGGGGAACTCAGACTGGTGTTAGCAAATTTGTGGGTACATGTGTTGTTGAACAGGTCCGAGCGGGAAAGCGTCATGCTCTGTATGTTTCGATCGACTTGGATGATCCTGTAACTCAGTGAGTCCATAATTAACTGGGGGATTCCATCGTCGGTGCAGGTGAGGAGAAATCCCAGGGGGCCGCAGTATGACGGACGAGGCCCGCCCGTGAATGGGTAAGAGAGGTTTTGGAGGCCCCCGCATGAGAAGGTATGGTTGCAGTTGGGGAAGGTGGACGTGTCGTTTTGGGCAGAGGAATGCGCTCCATGGGCGGAAAGGAGGAAGATGAGCAGGAAGAGGAAAACCAGAGGGAGCATGGTGAAGGCCTGAGGAGAGGTGGGGGGCAGAATAGGCGCTGCATTTTGAGAAAAGAAAGCTGACGGGCTTGAAGGGGCAAGTGAATTGACTGTTGACTAGGGAGGATGATTTTGTTGACTCGAACCGAGCGGCGACATAGAAAATGGCGGCTGTCATTAAAGGAGGGAGGAGGGGTGGGGGAACAATATCAAGAATTACATTCCTTTCTTTTTCCCTTCCCTGTTGAGTTGATTAATGTTTGGGATGCCAGATGGTGGTCAAATTCTGAGAAACTAAAAAAGTGGGAGTCGGAGATACATTTAAATTTTAAGGAAAAAACTAAATTAAAATAATAAAAAATACTTTACAGTTTAAGTTGTATTAGATTCTTGATAAAAAAAAAAAAAAAGGTGCTCCCTCTCAGATGAGGGGAAGGAGCGATAGGAGCTGCAAGGCGGCGATTACTGACAGGGAATTGAAAGACAATAAAGTAGGTTTGGACAGCATATTTGGAAAATTAGAAAAGGCAAATTCAAACATATGCAACCCTTTGTAACCATTGTACCAAAATTGAAAAAGAAAAGAAAAGAAAAAATCAGAAAAGCATTGGTAATATGGGCTTTGGCATGTGATATTGTGATTGAATGTGGGCAGATCAGGTGAAGCGATT